CAATCAGAGGAAAAACCCTGGCCTGCGTGGGAAGGCAGAGGGAGGGCAGCGGAAAGCCGCCTCCACCGGCACAGCCGCACCGTTTCGGTCCTTCTAGGGCCAGATGTAACCACAGCAGCAATACTGTCGCTGCTTATCTAGCTGACTCCAGGCCAGTGACAGCTATGTTGGCACACGAGCCATTCTCGCGTATCTTTAGCAGGGCTTTGCGCCAGCACAGCTAATCGGGGGAAATCACACCTCGGCACAACACACACGTAAGCTCCGCTGGCACAGGCTTCCCAGCGCAGGCACGGTCTCGCTCGGACCGAGTGAATGATTACCAGGCAAGTCTCTCTCTTGCAGGTGAAATAAAATTTCTTAGGAGGGATAAAAGCTAATAAAAACCTCCCCCAAGGCCCGCTACGTTCCCCTCGTCGCACTCCTTCCCATACCTGCGGCCAGCTGCCCAGGCAAGGTCTGCATTTATCATGAAACAGGTTCTGGAGGGAAGTCTTCTGCTCGCTGGCCATCATTTTATGCAGAGCCTCGTTTTCCTCCCCTTCACGCTCCAAAATCTGCATGAAACAGTTAATTAGACCACGGCTTCAGTTCCTAGCTGCTATTAAAAGGCAACATTACTTTCCTCCACTGCACTGGGTCATATTAAAAAGAAAACCAGAAATATGACTATGTATTTACAGTCAACAAAAGGGTAACGTATTTGGCAAATACCTTGCACTGGGAACAGCACTCTTTGTTATTTGGGAATTCAGGGGCCTTTGGAAAATATTGCTTGAGTTTCTCCCAGGCTTCCTTGGAAACCACTCTCCGTTCGTTTTCGGATATGCACAGGTCACCTGCAGGGAGAGAGCCAAGAGAAGGGCTTTGCTCTTGACGCGCTCAGCGATGTTTTGCAGCCCTAACTAGATTTAAGAGATTACAGGGTATAAACGTGGGGGAAGATATTCACGCACTTATCAGCCAACACCATGTCAGCAAAAAAGAGCGCAACCAATGCACAAAGTCACCTTCAACTTCTTTATCATTTCCTTGTTTAGACAGAAAAAAAAAATTATTTTAATTCATAATAATGTCCTTTAGATTTCAAAGCTCGTGAACCCAAGCAGCTGACCAAACGCAAGCGGGGGTAAAGAGATGCTCGGAAAAGCAAGGACAAGCCAACGGGGCACAGGGCTACTGTCTTCTGATCTTGGCTATCCATAGCTACGTTTTTACGGTGACTCCACTCACCAAGCTGCAGGCTAACCCCGTGCCCATCAAACAGGAGCCAGGTGCTTTCCGCACCCTTGAAAAACAAAATTAACCGCTGTATAATCTCAGATGGCTTCATGTGCCCTATCCAAGCACATCAAAATCTGGAAAGGATAGATTCTACACCCTAGATCTGCTCTAGGGAATAACTGGGGTGCGAAGATACGAAGCAAGGTTTACCAGCTATCCCCCAGATGATTTGCCTGCTGTATTATTTATCCTGATGCTGAAGCAGCTCAAAAAACCCCAAGAACGGTTTAGCACGAGGCATTTGTGCTTGCCGTTTTCACGACAGAGGTGTCAGAACGGTCACGCTCACGCATTTGGACACCACGTGTCCGCATGACGACACGCGGTCTGGCGGACAAACAAGGCTTGGAAAAAACTGGAGAAGGCGAGGGCTCGGGGATCCAACCAGCCACCCGCCTGCAGGATCGCCAAGGGGAAAACAAAACCGCAGCTCCCTACGAGACAGCAGCTGGGAAGACAAGGCACGGCTGTGCTACACGCAGTCGCAGCGAGAACGAAGAGGAACGGTCACTGCAAAACCGAGATGCAAACTTGGATCTGGATGCAGCACGGGAACGTTCATGCCTCGACCTGGATTTCACCAGCAAGAGGGAAGCAAAGCAACTGCGAAGTCGCGGCGCTGAGCGGTGTCCAGCAAAGGGTGCAATACCTTATTATCTGCTTTTCTATACAGAAAGAAGACGGGGAGAAAAGGCTCCCTCCTCCCCACCCTCCGGTAGCTCTTTAACATTACAAGCAGCTCCTCAGTCCCACGGACCCGTCAGCTTTCCTCGCTCCAGCCAAGCCTGGATTTCTGCCAGCCCCGAAGGGAAAAAATAGCAACGCTCCCCTCCTGCTTTTCCTCTAATAAACAAAGGTCGGGCTGGACTGCTTCGACGCAGCACTTGGCCACTTGTTCTTCATCAAACATGACCAAGTGGCCCAGCTTTACCATACGAGGAGGCAGGACCAGGCTGCTTTCCAGAGCCAGCAAGAATGGGGAAAAACTGAGCTTGTACAAACAAGTGCCTTGACACCGCATGATTAATGAAAACAGATTAATACGCTGTTGAGCGAAAGAGGTGGAAAAATCAGCTCTGGGTGTGCGGGGAACAAGTGCTTTGCCATCTGGAAGAAGATGATCCGAACTGCTGCTGACCCTGCTTCCCCCTCGCACCGTCCAGGGACACGTTTTGGGCACAGACATCAAAGAAGTCTTAACTTGGTATCTGGAAAAAATGATTCGCTGAGGTCGGGCAGCTACCGGAGAGCGAGAAATTGCAGCAAAGATGCAAAGGGAGCTCTTAAGGGAACGCCCGGATGGCATTTCTGGAGGCCAGCCAGACCTCACAGATAAAGCGCTGGCTTTTCCAGAGCCTACCACGAAGGCAGGAACTTCCTCCACGGCAAAATGAAGGCTGTAGGACCGAGACTACAGATTTGCTGATACACTCCAGAGTGACATTTTAAAAGTGAAAAGGCTGTTTTCCATGAGCAATCGGAGGTTAGCTCAAGACGATGAAATCTGACCCGCCAGCGGCCCCCATATTTAGTATTATTTAGTCTGATATGACCCAAAGTCACAGATCAACTAGTGATTTACCAGCATAATATTTTCAAGGGCCTGTTGGTCTATTTTTATCGTGTCTGGCTACATTAAATGTTTTCTCGCCACGCTGCATGCTTTTATTTAACAGCAGCAGCCTTGCGGCAATGGGAAACATGGTGTTAAAGGCTCTGAAAAACACAAAGTGCTTGAACACTCTGCTTTAAAATGAGGTTTTATCAAGCCATTACTCTACATCCCTGATTAGCCTTGACGACAGGAGGTGTGCTACTAATTTATGACACGTTTCTTTCTTAAGAGGAACAAGACCGAGCATCCCTGGCTCCAAACTGATGCCTCCAAACAGGAGCTTACTATACGAGTTCTGTCTGGGAGCCACATACAAGCTAAAAAAGTAAGATTTAAACAACGGGGTAGCCAAGGATGTAGCTAATGAACCGTCACTTCGCAAAACAACTAACATCGGGGCAAAACCTTATGTAAATGGACAGGAAAGCACAGCAGGTTGGTAAATCGATATCCTGAGCAGTCCCAGCCACTCGCAGATAAGCCCATGTTTCGACAGTTGTTAGGTAAGTGCTCCTGTTTTCATGTAAACCGAGAGAATAAACAGATACTCCCAGCTCCCACCTCGACTGATTTACACCGCTTGTTTTGCTCCTAACACTTTCAGAGCTTCCAAGTGGCCGCAGATCCTTGGTGCTGCCCTCACTCCATCACGTCGCTTCGTTAGCGAGAGGAAGAGATGCTGGCTTCCGCAGCACAGCGTTACCCGCAGCATCCAAGCATCGATGCGTTCACGTTTCACTGCTTTACAAAACCTGGACTGCGATGGGACAGCGCTCGCAAATAAAAGCTTGACGTTTGAGCGTCAAGAAACACCAGGCAAATGAGAATTAAGCGCATTTCCTCAGTAACTACTCATGCTGGCCTTCGACAGAGCAAAGGCTACAAGGTTAATGTCTTGAGCAGTGGGCAACAACAGATATATTCAGTTCCATCCCCCGTAGGGACTTACCATGTGGGCAAACGATGTCTTCATTAAAATTTAACTCCTCTTCCTCCTCTCTCTTCTCTTCATTTGATTCATCTAATTAAAAAAAAAAACAAAAACAAAACAAAACAAGAAGATTGCACAGAGTTCCTCTCCCAAGGAAAGGAAAAATCTTTGGGGGAAAGGAGCACGGTTGCCTTTCAAATTGCGGCAAACCCCTTAACCCAAGGGAAACTCTGGAAGGAAATTTGTTATTCTCAAATGTCTTGGCCTCCGGGCAGGCGGGATTACAGCCTACAGGCCGCGTAGGAGTGCTTTGTAGGAGCGCTTTGAAGTGCGTGGAGCACAAGCCAGTCCTTTGTGAGATTACAAAGGATGCATTTGTTATGGCTAAAACACCACAGGGGTTCACTGCTCCCAAAGATCTCGGAGTTTAACCTAAACACGAGCCTAGGTAGGAGCGCAGGGAGCCGAAACCTTCCTGGCAAAATATTAGTCCGCTCTTCGCCTTGAGGATACTGATCTAAACCAGATGCTGCCTGACAAACTAAGGGGGAGCCTGCCAGCGGTTTGACAAGCCCCACATTAATGGATAAATTACAGTTAAGAACCAGAGCTCCATAGACAGAAGTGCTGGCCACCGAACTGGAGCATGATAAACACAATAATGTGTTCGTAAGAGTCTCTAACGATCTGCCTAACGAGCAAGTTGGCTTGCGAGCCATTCAACTGTGCTTCTGGGAGTGGCAACCTGTTGTGAAACCATGGCCACCACCGAGGCATGAGGAACGGGTGGTAACTCGGCGGAGAAGCGCCCTTCTCAATGGATGCTCCATCAGAGCACGCAGATATTATCAGGAGGGCTGCGGTATCTGGTGCCTTCAACGAGGCCAAGATCAATGCCATTAGCTGATCGTCTCCACTTCAATTCAAACAAGCTTCTTGCCCTCAGTGCCAAAACAAAAAGCCCAACGACATCTCCAGTTTCCAAAGGTTTAAAGAACAGAAGGCAAATAATCCCCACCTATTCTCACCGACTCAGATACAGGCATGGAAGAGTCTAATTCATGATTTTTTTTTCCCTAGGCTGTGTTTTGCCAGAGCTGCTTTTCCAGCTGCACTGTTTCATCCATAGACCTTTGCAATAAACATCTTCATCCCTTCCCCTAGGTAATTTTCATGTTTCTTTCTTCCCTGTGCTCTCTCATTCAGACAAAAGCGGATGAAAAGATCATGTGTCTGGGGCGGTAATTTTACACAGCTTTGTAAAACTACTTATTACCTCATCTTCTTCTCTGGGTACGAAGATCACCCAGCAGTTTTGAAGCTTATCACATAAAAAGCTCCTTAAATGACGAAGCTTTTTATTTGATTTATTATCCTTCCCTCCCTACTCGTACAAGGGAAGCAAAACAGCTACGGGAACATCTGACGTGTCTTTTGTTAGGAGGCATCAGTCAGAGGTGGGGGGTCTCTACAGCAGCAGAACTACCTTTGTTTTGTGCATTCCCATTCATTTTTCCATTACTGTGCTCTGCGTCTTCGTCTTGCTCATTTAATTGCTCCAGAGCCAACTGACGCCAGCTCCGCAAGGACGCCTTTCCAACCCAAAACCCATCGTTCCTGCGGAGAGAGAACAGCGTCGGCAAGGCAAATCACAAATCCCTTCTCCTTCGGAGCCCAAACAGTTAAAATCTGTAGGAAAAAGCTATCTAAGCACTTCCAAAAAATCTCTGACGACTTTTGACAGAGACGTTTGAAAGCGTCGGGACTTACGTACCCCTTGACTGTTATCTTCAGCAAGTTCGTAACGGTTTTGTAGTCTTCGTTTAACTGGTTTTTCAGTCGCAGGATTCGACACCTCTCTACCACGCAGTCCTTGCAAAGTGCTTTGACTGGGGTGGGGGGAAGAAGAAACAGGATTTATTGCACACGTGGCTGAGCTTCTCACTGGTTTGAACGCGCTCAGACAGGTATGTACCAACTATCCTGCCTCGTGACCGGAGATTTCACATGTAAATGAGGAGATCCCTGGGGTTACTGCCGGATCAGGCCACATTTGAAGCTTAAATAAGCGTAAAGCGCTTCAGACGAGGTGCGATCTGTTCCGCTACCTTCGCAGCTCTCCGCCGCTGGTATCAACAGTTTGCAATTACAGCTGCGAGCCAGGTCACGCCAACGCACAGACACGGGAGTCAAGAGGCAGGACAGTTTAAGCATATGCAAAAAAACCAAAACACACCACAAACCCTGCATCATGGCATTTTCAAGCTAAACCGAGAAAAAAAACCCTCCTGCAAAGCTACACTGGACCAACAGGAGCAGAAAGCCTAGAGGTGGGCATATATTTCCATCTGGGAGCAAGCGGGTCGCACCCAGGAAAGCACGTCGGAGAAGGCAGCGCATCCGATCCATCCTTCCCAGCCGTACTCAACGAAAAAACCTGCAGGCGATCTTCCAGTTGACTAATAAACGTTGGCCTGTTTTTTTAACAAAGGCTGCCTGCGTCACAGCAGTTTCTGCTGGTTGCATTTCTTCCCTATAAGCTCCTAGCAGGAGCCGAGCTAATTTGGTCTCAGTGGGAGTTATTGAGCTCCTTTATAAAAGAAACTAAGCCTGGGGCTTGATTAAGGGTTGCCCAAAGACCGTAGGGGCTGGGCTGACCCCAAAAATCAAAATGCACGACAGATGTGTGCGACACAAGCACATAAGCTAACAGGTACGTGCTTCCCTCGGAGGAGGCGGCTTGGGACAGGCGAGAGGTGGAAGACAGTAAATGGTTTTCTTGGCCCGCACACACCCATGCTGCTCCAGAGCGCGTGCTGTCGGCAAGAGGCAGCGCAGACCCGCGCGCTCCACGGAACGCTGCCTACGCAGGATCTGTAGGTGCTGCAGGCATGGAAAATCATTTTCAAGAGTCTGGGGGGTTGCATGTGCAAGTTTTGTTATTTTCTAGCATCAACTTCACACAACCACCCAAGTATTACGTTTTTCTAACCTAAATGCACCATTGCTTTCTCAGCAATTCCTCTGCACGCAGCTCTTACCAGACAGAGCAGAACTCGGGTCTGAAACAGACCCTGCAATCAGACTAACTGTATTTCTTTGAACGCTAATGTAATTAAGCGATATTAAAAAAACCACCTGGAAATAACAGCACAGCACAAAAACTATGGGCAGAAATAAAGTTACGATGACAAAAGGACGGCTCAAAACAGGGCTGGGATCAGAACAAGGCCCTGAAACACGTTCAGCGCAGGAGAACGTGACTCGGAGAGGGCATTTTCCAGCCTGACACCTTACCGTTCAGCCGGGGCCCTCCTCCGTATCTCCTGTAGAAGAAGTCAGCCACGTACTCTGATATCCTCTTCATAATGGGTATTTTATCCGGATGGAGTTTGCCATGCGAGCACAGGCAGGCTGTGTTATCTATAGGTTTTGGAGGGGTAGACTCATCCAGCCATTTCTGCAGCCATTCGAGAGAGATGAAGTCATATGGGGAACCTGGGAGGGGAAAAAACACAAAGAGAAACAAGCCTGTACGTGTCAGCTCATACACATGGCAGCAGATGGTATTTTATAATTACTCTGATATTCAATGGTACTTTTAAAAATTAACAGGCTACCGCTGTTGATTAAATCTCTGCGGTACAAGTTTTCAAACATCTGATACAGCTTCCCTCGTCCAATTCTCAGCTCCGTGTCGCAGATTTAGAAGAGAGGAGCTATGTGAAATTAAGATACGCAAGAACAAGCGGTCATTTTGAATTCATGCAATCAATATGAAACAGCGGAGCACTCCGAGTAGGAAAGGGAGTGCTTTCAGACTGCCAAACCTTTTGGGGCTGATTGGCGAGTAGTCAAGGAAAGAGGAAGGTTTTCCTATCGTCCATCGAGGGACAGATATAATATTTAAATTGTGATCGTACATTAAAGGCTTTTTCTATAACGGAGTGAGCTCATCAGAGCAAACTGAAAAATAAAAGGCAACAACAGCAAAGACACGAGGTCAGTCTTCGCCCCGTCCCTTCAGCACCCAAAATTTCAGTGTTCGTCTGGGCTGCTCTTACAACTCTGGGTGAGAAACGCTCACGCATTTTAAGATTGGCAGTGCAAATGGTCAAATTTTTTCGTGTGAGCGTGATTTTTTTGGAAACAAAGCAGCAGGCTCGCCCTTGTTTGCTAAAGGAGAAACACCTTGCACAAAGCCAAGGTTCAGGAGCGGGTCAGCATCCGTATGAGCCGTGAAATAGCTTTGGGTGAAACGCCTGTGTCTCGATAGGGAGACCCAGTATTGATGGGTGAGGTGATTGGGAAATTAGGAGGAAATTAAACCCATTCTGTGCTGACAGAAGGGCAGCTCTGAAACTGAGGGGAAACGTAACCGTTAGTTACATTTATCAAACGAACACAAATCCTTCATGTTTCATACAAAGGAGCAACAGAGAAGCCACAGGAAAATACTTTGTCTTCCAGCTTGCACTGGATCTTTGTGAACCCGGGCTTCAAACCCTCTCTCCTCTACGAGAGAAATCAGCAGTGTTTTCGTCTTACACAACGCCATCAGAGATACACAGCCGTGACCTCCAGAGAATCGCAACGCTGTCAGAAATGGTTTGCTAGTTTGGGATGAAAGCCGCCTCCCCCGGAAAGTACGTTTTTCTGGGGCAGGCTACACAAAGCTGGCAGCAAATGTGTCTGCACAGCTGCAGAGAGAGTCCCGAGCTCCTGCGGGATCGGACCCCGGGCAGCTCTGGGATAACGCTGCCGCCAGCTGTGCTAGCAAGCTGCTGTGCCCAGGCCGTGCCCAGCAGCAGGCAGTGGGTGCCCTCAGGGCACTGCTTTAGGTCCTGCCATCTTCAAATTGGGGCAGAGGAGCTTCACCTGCACTTGTAAAAAGCATCTTTTTGAGATTTATTCCTCTGCCGTGTCAGAAATGCCAAGAGCAAACTATTCTGTTTCTGCTAAGAGGGAGAGAAAACACACCGGAGCGGTGCTTGCTGCTCCTTTTTAATGGTGACTCACGGCAGATTCATGCCTCCACCACAACTTTGATTTAACAGTGACATTTTAACACTGCTCAGGCTTGCGGGGACTCGGGAAGATGAGCTGCGACACCCTCCTGTTTGTGAGTTAAGCGCCCATTGTCTGCAAACCTGGGTTCATAAATTGAAGAGGCAGACATTTACGGGAGCCGAGCAGTCTGCTGTTCGGCTACTTGAGCCTCGCTGCTGGTTCCGAGCGTTAAGCAATGAATATTAAAAGCTAAAAATCAAATTGGCTAACAGGCTACACAATTAAGCGCATTTTGAAGTCTTTAATTACAAATATCCTGGAGTTTTTAGGAGTTGCGCATAGTGGAGAGAAATTCCCCGCGCTGGATGGGCAGAGCAAGTGCCCCTATGCTTGTTTTGAGGGAGATGGGAGAGAAAAACAAGGAGGGGAATAAAAATCCTTGGGCTCAGTCATGCTAAGGCGACAAGGCACAAGGAGCAGCAGGGAAGGATTAACCCCAGTCACTCATCGGATGGACCACGAAGCTTAGACATGGGGCTTCGAAGCACTGGTGGGGATGAATCAAATCATTTTCTGCTGGAGGCCAGGCATTCTCGTACCCCGTTACCTGCCGATTAATTCGGATCAACAGCTCCCAAACATGACTGAGCTGGCACTTTGAGACCGGCCAGTTATTCTGCCTTGATGCTACTAATCGCTAACGACACAAGCTGCTCACCCGGCAGAAGAAAACAGTCATGATGCATGGAAGCACACAGGAGACTGACTGACGGGGAAGGAGCAAGAGGGAATTAGCGACGCCAGAGGCCATTAGAATGAGCAAAAAAAGGAGAAAAATAGGTTAAGGCAGAAAAACAAGAGAGAGAAAGCAAATCCTAAGCATGCACACAGCAACAACAGACAGTGATCGCTCTCCTCTTCCAAGCGGGCTGCAGCTAACGCCTTCCAGCGAAGCGTTCGGGCCACAGAAGCGAGTTGTGGGTTAGTTACAAAACATTACTAATCTTAACAACGGTCTACTACAAAATACTACCACAATATCTTACAGACCAGCTTCAGCGGGTAACCTTTTGTAGAGCTCCTTCACCTCTTCGTGTTTGATTTTGCCTCTGGCCACGCTCTGTTTGCGCATCTCGGCCATTTCGTTGCACCACTCCTCAAACTTGCAGTTATCGCGCTCTACCAGCTCCTGCAGAAAAGCTGTTGGGAAAGAAGAAAAAGCAGTCATTTCAAGGAAAAATGCCAATTATGTTAATTACCCCTGTGATCGGTTATCTGGGGATAACAAGCAAGCCTAAAAATTCCCCCACGCAGCTACCGACATACGAGGTCTTTCCGAAAGCCAAGCGCACGGACGTTGCTCTCTCCGATATTTACGGTTGTGGATGATTAAATGCAACTATCCTGCACGACACAACAGCGCCCAAGACAATAATTGACTCGGGGTCGGTTGCTGCGCTAAGAGAAATCCTTTGCTTGCTAACAAGCCTACGCCGAGCGCTGGCAGTCGCGCGAAGTGCAACGGGGTTTGGGGAGAGGCTGCAGAGCCGGAGCCCGGCAGGACGCTTTGCTGCCTGCTTCAATCCCTCCCTGCTATTCCTCTCGCCCCGGCCATTTCTCTGCCTCCCACCGAGAGCAGCTCCTCCGTGCGGCCAAGGTCCCGTCGTTCCCAGGGCGGAAGCGAGAGCTTCTCACCCTACTGATACACCTGAAGCTTGTCCCGACGTGCAGCCCCGCGGGTACGCGGGCTCTCAGCGAGAGGGGTCGAGCACGTTGCAAACCCAAGGGCAAAAAGCCCTCAGGAGATGGGAGATAAGCCGGGGCAGCTCCTGGTGTCGATGGAAAGGTGAGGGAAATGGGAATTTTTGCTGTCGCTGATGGAAAAAAACCAAGCAAACCAAACCTCAGCAGGGGAAAAACGAAGATAAAACACTTCCCTCGCAGGGCTGGTGTAAGGGAGCATTATCTGCTTATCTGAAGCCTTTTCCTATTTGGCAATATTTTGAAGAGCTAAAATATTTCCAGGAAGGTTAACACTTGTGCGGCCAGAAAGCACAATATCCACCTTAGGAGAATACACAGTATTAAAAAACAACCAGCTTGACCCCCTTGAGGTCAGAGCCAAGTTATGTCTCTCCACTGTCCCGGAAAAGCCGCTTTTAACAGCATCAAAGCAAAATGCCTCAAATTTACAGTTGCATGAAACCTCCCCGCAACCGCACGCCTCGACTGCTGCCCTTCGCTCCCTGTTCCCTGGCAGGCTTCCACGTGAAACAAAGGCAACCGCGGGGCTGCGCAGGAATTTGGAGCTGGGTGGAGAGGCTTTTGCCGAGTTATTGTTTTGGGCAGAGGGGTAGGAGGAAAGGGAGCGCAAGAGAGCTCAGGAAACAGGCTGAAAACGCAGAGCTGAGGCAGGAATTAGCGCTAATTCCCAAAGCTGTGTGGCTCGGAGGGTGGCTTTTAGTGGTGGTGGGGCTGGAAAAGGCTCAGTGCTGTCATTAGGGGGGAAAAAAGCTGTACGATTTACCCCCTCCGCATCCAGATAACCTGAACAAGCAGCAGAGGTCCAAAGGGGACATGCCACCTCCGCTGTCCCCGCTTCGCAGAAGAGGGAAGAAGGTGGAACACACCTCCATCCCCATCAGCACCAGGGGCCTAATTAATATTTCTAATTGAGTAGCATGCAAACGCGAAGCATCATTAAATCCACAGGCCAAACCTACAGGGATTTCTGCCACCCCCAGTAATTCTAAAGCAAGACACGAACGCGCTCGTACAAAACTCCTGTTAAGGGCTTGCATCCTCTTATTTTCACACCGTTTATTCTCAATGTGGCAAAGCTGAAGCACTCGCAGAAGAAACCTGACATCTGTCAGGATTATTCACCTCCAGCACGGTACGTGCACTGCCAATGACATTCAACCACGCTCTTCTCCTTCGCCTTCAGGAACCTGAGCGGTTCCTGCGGGATCCCGGCTGCGAATCCCAACGCTCCCGCCGCCGCACGCGGCTCCCAGCGGGATGATCTCCTCCTAACCCCTTCCCCTCTCGTCTCGCTGGTTAAGATGGCGAGGTCTGAGCGGGCCCAGGGGTGGGATCATCAGGCTAATGTTATTTAAGTGCTAGGAAAGCCCAGGGGTTTTGACACCGAGTTGCCACACGGCACCTTTGGGGGCTCACGGACAGTGGTCACAAAAGGGGCTTCCAGCAAAACCCCGACTCCTGGCCTGCCTGGAGCATCACGAGACGAGATGGAGGGGCCAGGAGAGTCAGAACTCACTTACCTGGTACTTCGACCGTCAGAGATTTCTCCCGGGTTTGCAGCCTGTACACCAGCATGTAAGCGTTGCGCGAGCAGTGAGTCCCTTTCCCACACTTAGGTTTACGAGTCTGGGATTTAGAAGGTTCTGCTGTGGTACAAAAGGCAAAAACATAATAAACCCACGAGCTCGCTTACTGATTCTCCATTAACGGGACGAGTTTGCCACCTAGCCGGCTTCCCTCTCCCCGCTGTGGTCTGCCAGGCCTCTTTTTGCCAAGTGCTGGGCTTGGCATGAGCCAAAATTGTATCCCAAAGCCAGACCCAAATACCCTCCAGCATTTCTGGAGGCAGGGTAATTCAAAGGGACTAAAATTAGGAGCCTGCTCTGAACCGCCCTCTACAAGAGCCTTTCTTCTCTCCCCAATTAAACCTCACCGAGCCAAAAGCAGCTCTTGCAAAAACATCGTTTCACCCCTCTGCCTCTTGTTCTGGTGTCCTGACACCAAAGGAGAGAGTCAAATCCTGAGGGAAGAAAAGCTTATTTACAGGTGATTGCGTACGTGAGAAAACGTGCGCCCTTCTGTTGGGCAACAAAGCTTTTGGGGAGCGAACGGCCACGGAAATGGTTATTTCAGAGCAGCTGGTGGTGCGATGTAAACTCGTGTTGCAAGAGTTGCCGTTTCCAGACGGACTGCCAGGCAAGGAAAAAACACTTATCTACAGCTGCAGCTTCAAAAATCAACCAGTTGTTTTAATTAAAAAATAAATAAATAAATAAAGGAACAAGCTTCCATAGGTCAAACTCTAAATGGGACATTGAAATATTGAGAAAAGCATCCGTCTTTGCCGAATTCTGGAAAAATTCACATGACTCTCCCAGCACACCATCCAGGGGACTTCCTAGGCGCTCTTTATTTGTATTTTCTCTAAATATTTTCTAAATTGAAATTGTTCCCATCTGCGCGGCCAGGCCGCTGGACTCTCCCCACAGCAGACCTCTGCTTTACGTTACGGATCTCCTCCTGCTGTTGCATCCATTTGTAACAAAGAAGAGTCTCGGTTTTGCTTGGAGCAGGCAAATAACATCAGCACTTGACAAAAATATTAATGCTCCCAGCCTGCAGAGGCTTCTAAACACACTTTACTTATATTCTTCAAGCAGCCTCGTATTTCAGCAAGAACACTTACTTGCGGTTAAGCATAAACCTTTAAAAGATCGAGGCCACAGCAGTTTATTTGCATCTTATTCTGCTACGCTGGGTAACTCGGGAGGTTAAAAAGAAAAGCTGAGAAGCTCTTATTTCCTTTTGGGGCTTATTTTTCTGTCGTACACCACTAGATGTCTAGCCAGCTTCACAATTTGGTTGCAAGCAAGCGGTAGTCAAACATTAACAGCATGACAAAGCTGCTCCGGTGGCAGCCGGTGTTTATATACGTCGTGATGAAATGCAAGAAGGTGTTTACTAGCAAGAGAGCTGAAAATAAAGTGGCATCATGCAGATGCGTGCACGGAAAGAAACGGGAGAGGGAGGCGAATGCCCCATGCCTGCTCAAGGCCGCGCTCAGGTTGATGTGGCTTTACAACAAACTAAGGGAGCAAATACGTCTGAGGGTGTCTTTTCATTAAGCTGTTATTTAAGGATGCTTTAAAGAAAGGCAATGTTTTGTAAAGTCCAATTGCAGCGAAGCACGAGCGTCCTGGTGGGCCAGTGTTTCTGGGAATGGATTGTTTGCATCATAAGTGAAATTTCTGGCATTAACTTCCCCGTTTCCCGATACCGCAAAGCATCCTGTGCTCAGGAACACCAAGCGACTGCAAATCCGAGCACTCAAAATGCCAACTGAATGCTGAACCACTCCTATCTATCGACTGCAGACTGAGAAACCCGCACCCTCAGCCCGAGCTCTCCAAGAAATCAAGACCCTGTCCAGGGAGCACGGTTACCCAGGCACAAGATGAGCCGACAGCGGCAGAACGGAAGA